AGCACTGGAACCTTTTGTGGCATTTAAAGCAACATATGGGAGTTATTGTGGCTACAGGGTGGGCTGCTCCATGTCTGAACCATCACCAGTTTGCCTTCTGTATTCCTATTTTGAGTCCTCATTGATTTTCCTGCCCTCTTATTATTTGGTGTAGTGGAGAAGGTGCTGGCCTAGAAACCAGACGACTGTGAGTTCTAGTCTCGCCCTAGGGATGAAAACCAGTTTTGTGACCTTGGGCCAGTCACTTTCTCTCGGCTCAACCCACCTCACAGGGTTGTTGTTGAGGGGAAAGTAGGAGGAGGAAGGAGTATTATCTAAATGTTCACTGCCTTGAGTTATTTATAACAATAATAAAGGCAGGATAAAAATATAATGCGTAATGATAAAATATTTCGATTGTCCCAGCAACTATTTATGGGTTAAAATGAAGAAAAATGTTAAGAGCTCAGGAAAGAAATAAAAAGGAAGCTTGTGTATGGGTGATGAGTGCTAACATCTTTTTTGGTGTGTAGCGAATGTGCTCAGAGGATTTCCTAAATTACCATCTGGTGCGCAGATATAAAAGGTACAAGTACAGCAGTTGGCGGCCGTTAAATTTGTTTCTTAAAATACCACCTGAGGATTTAGCCTACTACTTGATTTTCTCTCCCCTTCTCTTAAAATAGTTAAGAAGCTGTGTGAAGATTGAAAGATGCAGCAGCCGATTCATTTTGCCTATTTTAGATATTGCCTCCACCTGTCCCTTGCCTAGCTCACCATCATTTGTAAAATGCGGGAGGAAGAAACTAGTCACATACTTTGTTTAGGCACAAGGTAGTGTTTTGCTGTGCTCTGAAGTTTAGAGAAGCAGGGGGTATACAAGCCATGTTGGTGATTCCTCCATAGAATATAGTAACAATAATATGTGCAGAATGCAGAACCAAGGATTTGGTGAAGTGCACACTAGGAAAATCAGAAACAAATCTTTGTTTTATTTGTTTATTAAATGTATAGGCCACCCATCTCACTATTGTTTTGCTGTCTCGCCAATATAAGTAGCACATGGTGTCTGTCAAGGTGAAACAAACAATGAAATGTGTATCACAATGCAAACTCTGCCCCTTTTATACATATGCCATGACGTTACAGGGCATGTGCCCATTTTTGATAGAAAAGCTGGATTTAATAGACACATCCATTAACTGAGTTTGTGCAGAATCTTCTTGTAGACTTTCGCATGAGCTTCGGTAAAGTGCCAAAGTTTCAATTGCTGCAGTGACAAAAGGATTCCCACTTTTCTTAAATTATTTGGGTTTTTATTTTAAATAAAAATTGCCACTCAGTAGCTAATGCGTTTTAAATATAAATAAAATTGCTAAAAGGAAGAAATGAAGATGAAGGTAAACAGAAGTGGTTTATTGCATTGATGTGAAAGTTTCCCGGAAAAAGGCAATAACAAATATTAATAAAGAAGCAGATCTGCCAGTCTGTTGCATGGAATTGAGTCTGAAGCTGATTTTGATTAGTAGTTGGAGAGGAAACAACCAGGAAAACACTGGACTAAAGCTAGACCAGGAAATTAAAAGAAAAAGTGCCAGAAAAAGGCAGTTTCAGGCTACTTATAATTATTATAAATAAAATTATTGTTGTTGTTGTTATTATTATTATTATTATTTCCCTAAGATGACCAAAAAATTTGCATGGTTGTGTCCATAAAGTTAGTAGGTTGGATCAAGGCAGACTTTATCTCTGTTGTGCTAGTATAATATGATACTTCTGATACTCAATTCCTGCATTAAAAAGTTATTTGATTGTTTTAGTTTTGCACAAAGCTGTGGTTAGATATGTTTATCCTGAAGTTTGCCCACCCCAGTAGTGCATCCTTGAAGAGTGAACAACTGGATGTAGCCAGAATAACGTTTGGCCTCTTTTTCTGTGTATTGTTTTAAATAAACCTCTATCTGTGCATTTTGTGGTCTCACATTCTTTTAAAACCATCTCCCAATCTCAGGCCATTAGAAAAATACAAGTTTTAAAAGTGGCTCTGTTGTTGAGCCCAGCAGCCATTAGAAATATCTCTTTTAGAGAGAAGATTTTGTTAGTGCATTTGGAAAGGCTATTTTCTTGGGCTGATTAAAACCGAAAGCACCTTGTCTTGAGATTGTTGTGGGTCTGAAAATGTGTGAAAATAATTATAGACACATGTTTTGATTAGCAGAAAGAGATGTGTGAGAAAGAGAGGGGGGGTTGGAGTGGAGGCTGCTTGGTTTTATGATATGTGTAGTTGGGGTAATCCTTGATTGTGCTACTTAGTCTTGGAATTCTTTGAAAAGTTTTGAAATTTTGTCCTTTGTCAAAGAAAAATTAACACGATTTGCTAAATTAGAAAGTGGGGTGTTTACTTTTTTGCTCATCAAATGTGACTGTGATTAGTAAATAAAACAAGCTTTGTTTTTGGCAGGTGTCTGAAGGTAATGCTATGTTTTGTTATGGCTTATTTCTGGTTTGTTGTGTGCCCGAGGCAAGCCTTTAACTCATATGCCAAGGTGCATTGGAAAGAGTTTTTCTGACTTTTTTTTAACCAAACCAGTTAAAGTGAACTATTCCTTAGCAGGGTATTTAAATGCAATCCATAGTTTTGAAATACTTCCTGAACTGCCCTAGAATTCCTTTCAACGTAGCCATATAATTTCTACTTCACTCCTTTTCTTGCTAATGGAGCTTAATACTTGAAGCCAAAGGCCTAATTTGCAGAATCAACCTAGAATCTGCACTAGAAGAGAAAGAAGACATGATTAAGGATTGAGGAGACATGGGATGTCTATACACACACATGAATGTGCTGGATAAAATAATTATAAATAGAAGGAAAAAAAGAATGCCTGAAAAAGAACTCAATATGTATCCAGGGGAGTCTTATTTCATTTTGATAGGAAAGTATTATTTTTATGTGCTTTTAGATAAGTCTTCATACAGTCACTTCTTTCTGGAAAAACCTTGAATTCATACAGGGAGGAAAGAGCCACTTAATTCTGCTAAAACTTGGCTTTTCAAGCATGTGTCATGCTTGGGAAATATTTCATTGTCAGCTGTAAAGTATCCCTGGTATAATTCATAATTGCATTTTGTTCTATATTTTCTGTATTTCTTTGCCAGAGCACTGATTTTAAATACAGTTCATGTGAGGTCTCTTCTTGAAACATCCTGATTTAGTGTTTTCTCTCTGGTGTATCTTTTATATCTTGAAAGATGGGGAATGTCTGAATTTTAGGCAATAGGGGAAAGAATCTCCTCTCCATAAAATAACCACAGAGATAACCTATAAAGACATTTGTAGCTGAAACGTGAAACATATGCAGTTCAGACAAATGAGTATAGAAGACTGATGTGAAGTCTCTGCATATATTAATTTAACTATGTAATTATATAATAGTTATACTATTAGAATTTGACATTCTTCTAAGGTGTCTCCTTTTTAAAGAAAATAAGAAATTGAGTTAGGAAAAGTTACGATCTCGTGCCTAGAAGAATTATGGCAACAATAGTTATAAAATAATGCATTTATAGTTATTTTGTAATTTTAGAAAAATTATGTGACACATCAAATAAGTTCACATGGGGCATGCTCTGTGATTGATGATTTCTCAAAAGTTGTTTTTTAATGTGTTTGGAAGTAACACTAAACCATTGTTAGTATTATGAGAAAAAGCTTCATCTCTTCCCTTTCTTCCTCTGATGTTGATACAGTACAAAGAGATCATATTTAATTGCAGTTAATTTAAACAAGTCAATCTAATAAACCATGGCCTGAAATGGATATGTTTCCTCTAAAAGCAATTACAAATAATCTTGATTTATTCTGGTTCAAAACACAAAGCAATCTTTGATTAATTAGAAGTGAAACTAGAAGAATAGTGCTCCCTATATTTTGTATATTACTTTTAATGCTAATATGTAATTTAACATTACGTTATGTCTGAACTAGTCCAATATTGTAAAACTGATATTTATTTGCCCAGCTGTAATGTAATATACAGTATGTTTACCCAGCTGTAGCAGGCTGCCTTTGATCCTTTTTACACATGAAGGTGATAATATTTTGATGTGAGAAAAAATGTTTCTATCGCTCTTACTGTACATGTAATATGTTTCTGGGGGATTTTTTTTTTTTTTTTTTGCCTCCTGTGCAAAAATGATTAACTGCATGCAGGAAACTTATATAGATAGGAATGAACTGGCAATAATGTTCATGATTGTATTTTATTTATAAAAATATTTTTATACCCAGAAACATTCAGAAATTTACAGCCTGAATCATGCGGTGCTTATACAGTCATAACAGTAATTAACTTCAGTATGCACTAATCAAATTTAGTCAGTTTAGGAATGACAGATAGGAAGAATTGCTTGTAGTTCTCATTGGATGCGTTGGATAAAACTGTGCTTGTGACTTGATCAGACAAAGAAGTTTAGGAGAGAAAGGATATAGGGATCATTGGGAGGACTGAGTTTCTTCTTCATCTCCAAACAAAAAAAATTCTCATAAAGCTAAGTCATTGCCAGGGCTGTGGAGTCGGGAGATAAATGTTCCGACTCCGACTCCTCAGTTTTTTGTACTTACGACTCCGACTCTGACTCCCCGACTCCGACTCCTCTGTATTAATATGCGAATGTATTCACTTTTTTGTGAATTGGGACATTTAAACTTGCTTTTTTTAAAATTCCAATCTAAATTTAGTAGGAGTCGGAGTCGGTGCATTGTTTGCCGACTCCGACTCCAGGTACCCAAAATTTCCTCCGACTCCGACTCCTCGACTCCGACTCTGACTCCGACTCCACAGCACTGGTCATTGCTCTTTTTTTTTTTTAATTTGCCAACTACCTTGAAATTTAATTTATTATAAGATTTTTTTCTTTAATCTTTCTTAGTTTTGATTCAATAAATTAAATGGCTTTATTGCAGACAGGACTTGCAAATCACTAATCTCGTTGCTCCTGGGTCCAGTGGTCAGGAACGGGTTACTTCTCACTTCAATATGCTTGATTGAGTCTGCTTAGCTGAGAAGCTCCGCCCCTCCGCCCAGCTTCCCAGCTTTCTGACTCAATCTGATTGAGAAGGACACGTTGAGCTGAGCTCCTGAAAAAAACTAATTTCCAGGTTTTCCTACACCGCTTTTCAGAGCTGTTGGTGAGTTTTCCCAGCGTGTAGGGCTTTGCACCCAAATCCGCTGAGGGATTAGCCAGCTCAGCGGGGGCTGCAGGTTCCCTTTGGGTTGAGCCTGGCTCCTCGCAACAGCGCGAAGGGGTAACACCCGAGACCGCTGGCAACGTGAGTTGCTGGGAAACCCTTCTGGGATTCCCGAAGGAGTCCAGGTGCCTTCGATTCAGAGCCTGTCCTTCCGCAGGAGGAATTTCGTCGCTGGTGAGTGCGACTGCCCCCACGTGCAGATAGCGGCGCCTGAGGCTTCCCTGCAGCCGCGGTCTCTTCGAGCAGGCGTTCGTCCACGTGGGGAAGCTTCGAGGACGGCTCCGGACTCCTTGGGTGGACCAGTTTCACTGGTCTTCTCCCGTTTGGCACACGCTCTCCTCTCTAAAGGTATGGTGAGGGGGGATGTTGGTTCAGCGCCCCCCCTCCTCCCCCCCCCGACGGCCCCTTTAGTCCCGGCGGCCATTTTGAAACACCGCATGGCCTTTTAGAGGCCCTGGTTTCCCGGGCGGCCTGTAATGTTTCGGACCACCCCGGCGGCCATTTTAAAACGACCGCATGGCCTTAGAGGCCTTCCTAACAGCGGCAATTAATGGAGCATTCAATTTGGCTGTTAAAAATCTGGAGGGGGCTTCTATTGGGCCTGATCCTTACGTTCAGTAATGGCTACATATTTACCCCTAGCTCCAGATGGCTTCCAAAAGATCCTCCAGACCCACTAGACAGCACCTTCAGGGCGAGGATCAGCAAGGACAAGCAGCTATTCCTGCAAAGAGAAGCAGAAAAACTCACCATACTGCTGGAGCCACTAAGTCTGCGCAGTCTGCTGCTGCCTTGGCTAAGGAGGAACTCAAACTCCACAAAGCCATAGAGAAAGCCATCCAGAAGGCCACTAAAGCTGCTTCAGTACAGGATAGTGCTCACCCGAGCCCGTCTTCTACGGCTCTTCATAGTGCAGCCCCTCTACCCAGGGAGACCTCTCCTTTACCTCTAGTTTCGGGCCCTGCATTATCTCCAGATGGGCCCACACCTCCAACTGAGGCTCAGGCAGGGGTTAATGTCACCTTGTTTGGGGAACAATCTGAACCAAGCCCCAACCCTGCCCCTTCTTCAATCAGGCCTCCAGCTGATCAACCGGGGGCTCCCTCTGATCCGGCACCTGGGGCCCCAGGGACCCTCATAACCCCCATTCTAGCTTCCTACATTAAGGAAGCTATTCGAGAAGGGGTCCGGCAGGAATTACATCAAAGAACTTCCTCCTGGGTATCCGACCAGGAAGGCTCTCAGTTAGATGTTGAGGGCTCTATTATTTCTTCTGGTCGTGGGGCCACTCACTGTGGGGAACCCCGGAATTCAGTTCAGATCGGGGCTCCCTCCTCCGGCCATTCTGAGCAGGGTTCCCTCACTGGGGCAGACCTTCTAGATCAGGAGATGTCTGAGGATGAAGATCTGGCACCAGATCAGCCAGCATTTGTGGGCCTTTTCAAACCCCAACTATTCAGGTCCCTTCTTCACAAGGCCAAATTGACTACTGGGTTGGGGGTTTCCCGACCTTCAGAGATTTCCCCCAAGGAAGGTCCCTCCACATCAGTCCCTCTCTTTGAGGAACCAATTATAGAATCAGAGGAGATTCCAGGTCCTAAGATTTTCAGAGACGTTTTACAACGTCAATGGTCCTCACCTGCTTCAGGGCCTAGCCCCAATTCTTTAGACAAACGCATATATAATTTGGCACCTGAACTGTCATCTCTATTACAGGCCCCTTCGGTTGACCAACCAGTGGCAGAGTTGTCCGCTTCGTCCAACTTAGCTGGTCCCCCAGAAGATAATCTCCGCCCTGAGGACAGGCGTTTGGAGCATTCCCTAGTCCGCTCCCATCAAGCCACGGCCTGGTCAATAAGATCTACCATGGCCGCTTCCTTTTTTAATAGGGCCTCCATTCTTTGGTTAAAACAATTGCAGGCTAGACTCCCTATCTCAGACGTCCGGGCACAACAGGACATTAGTAAGGTCATTGTGGCTCTAGAATATTCAGCTGATGCCACATTAAATTCGTCACGTTTCGCAGCCAAGGCCATCGGTTCTACCGTGACCTCCCGTCGCCTGCTTTGGCTACGCCAATGGCAAGCTGACTCCAAATCCAAATGGCGTCTAGCTTCCTCCGCCTTTGAGGGACCTAAACTTTTTGGAGCGGCTCTGGATCCACTTCTGGTGGAATCCAAGGATAAACGCCGCGTCCTCCCTTCCATGTCCCGTCGGTCTGAGATTCGTTCCCAGTCGTCCTTTCGGCCTTTTCGTAACCAGGAGGGAGGATTCACGGGTGCCCGTAGACAAAGGTTCTTTCCTCCCCGGCAGTCACGGTTTCAGGACCGTCAATTCCCTTCCTCTTCCCGAGGTCAGGCCAGACGCCCCTTCAGAGGGGGACGGGGGCGGGGTTTCCGCAGGTCACGCTGACTGTCCGGGCGGGCTTCCCATTGGAGGTCGTCTGGCAGCCTTTGCCAACCAGTGGGAGGCTTCCTCTTCGGACGAGTGGGTCAGAGAGACTATCAGGTTTGGTCTCTCTCTAGAATTTCTCTCCACCCCCCCAGATCGATTTCTGCCATGCCCTCTCTCCCGAGCCAGGGCATCCCGCCTTCTCGTGTTGTCCGCTATTCGGCATCTTCTCGAAATTCGAGCCATAGAACCTGTTCCCTCGGAGCAGCGCGGACTAGGCTTCTATTCACGCCTTTTCGTCATCCAGAAATCATCAGGGGGCTGGAGGGCAATTCTCGACTTAAAGTCTCTGAACCGCCGTATCTCCTATCGGCGATTCAAGATGCAATCCCTTCAATCCATCCTGGAGGGGATCAGATTGGGGGATTTCCTTACCTCCTTAGACCTGACGGAAGCTTATCTGCATGTCCTCATCCATCCGGCTCACCGCCGTTTCCTCAGATTCTCCTTCCAGAACGATCATTACCAATACAGGGCACTCCCGTTCGGCCTTTCCTCGGCTCCTCGGGTGTTCACGAAGTTGATGTCCGCCCTTGCAGCTCACCTCAGATCCATTCCGGTAAGAATCCAATTCTACCTAGACGATCTCCTCATCCAATCGACCTCAGAGCAACTAGCACAACAAGACCTTTCCACCACACTCCGGGTCCTCAGGGACCACGGGTTTTCGATCAATTTGTCCAAAAGCCACATGGTGCCTTCCACTCGCATCCGTCACCTAGGGGCCATCATAGACACGAGGGAATGCAAGGTGTACCTCTCCCAAGACCGTCTAGACAGCATACGATCCTTAGTCAGGTCAGTGTTGAGGGGGAAGGCTCCCTCTCTGGCGACTTTGTCCCAGCTATTAGGGAAGATGGTTTCATGCATCGGGATAGTTCCCTGGGCTCGGCTCCACTGCAGGCATCTGCAGTGGTTCCTTCTCCCTTACCAGAAACGGCTCCTGGGGTCATCCCAGCGGAAGGTCCGTCTTCCCCCGGCAGTCCACAATTCCCTCAAATGGTGGAGCTCCAATGCCCTTCACAAGGGGAGGGAGTTCAGGGTGTCCCACTCCCTGATCCTGACCACAGACGCCAGCCTTCACGGCTGGGGGGCTCATCTAGCTTCCTCCATAGCTCAGGGTCGTTGGTCCCAGACCGACCTGGAGCACAACATAAATTGGTTGGAGCTCCGGGCCATCCACTTAGCCCTCCGTGTATTTGTCACCAAGGTCCAGAACAATCATGTGCTGGTGAGAACAGACAACGTGGCTGCCAAGGCCCATGTAAATCGTCTGGGGGGGACTCGGTCTCAGCCACTCATGGAAGAAGCCGAGAGGTTGGGGTCCTGGGCAGAGAGTCATCTGAAGTCCTTGAGGGCCGAGCACATCTCGGGGGTGGCAAATTCACAGGCAGACTGGCTCAGCCGAGCCACGGTGGATCCGGGGGAGTGGACTCTGGACCCAGACCTGTTCACAGAGATAACGTCTCTTTTCGGGACTCCTGTCGCGGACCTCTTCGCCACTCGGGAGAACAGCCAGACACAGAGATTCTTCTCCCGGTTCCCGGATCCAGCAGCGGAAGGCGTGGATGCCCTACACAGCAACTGGCCTCCCGGCCTCCTGTATGCCTTTCCCCCTCTTCCTCTCATAGCCAGGGTCATCCGCAAGATGCTTCTGGAGAGGGCGGAACTGATCCTGATCGCGCCCCACTGGCCTCGGCGGCCTTGGTTCGCGGACCTGCGGGCTCTCTCCATCCGTCAGCCGTGGCGTCTACCTCTGGACAGACTTGTACTACGTCAAGGATCGCTGCATCATCCAGACGTCGAATGGTTGCAACTAGCCGCCTGGCGGTTGAGCGGCGACTGCTGAGAGACCGGAAACTTCCCCCCAGCGTAATCTCGACCATCCAGGCAGCTCGTCGTCCTTCGACGACTCGCATTTATGACTCGACCTGGCGGTCTTTCTCCTTCTGGTGCCAGAGGAACTCCATTCTCTCCACGGTTGCCTCCACGGAGGAAGTCCTGGTGTACCTTCAAGATCGGTTGGATGCAGGTCTCGCTCCTAACACTCTCCGCAGGCAAGTAGCCGCCCTTTCATCTATCCTTTGTTGTGGGTCCAGGGGGTCCCTTTCCAGTCGCCCTCTCATTCGGCAATTTCTCAAAGGGGCTTCTAACATTCGCCCCCCCACCATCCATAGGTACCCTACATGGAACCTTCCCAAGGTACTCGATGCGCTCACCAGGGCTCCCTTCGAACCCCTCAGGGAGGTGGGGTTGCGTTTTCTTTCCTACAAGGTGTCTTTCCTCCTCGCCATCACTTCGGCCAGGAGGATTTCGGAATTAGCAGCGCTTTCCATGCGAGCTGACCTGTGTGTGTTTCATACAGACAGGGTTGTGCTACGGTTGGATCCCACCTTTCTTCCTAAGATAAACTCTGCTTTCCACCGGTCCCTAGAAATCGTTCTTCCCAATTTCTGCCCTAACCCTTCCCACGCCTTGGAACGGTCCTGGCACACTCTCGATGTTAGGCGCGCCCTCCGCATTTACCTTCGGAGGACTTCCCCTTTTAGACAATCAGAGTCTCTCTTGGTTTCCTTCCAACCTTCCTCCTTGGGTAGGAAGGTCTCCTCGTCTACCCTGGGTCGCTGGATCAGGGCTTCCATCGCCAAAGCTTACGAAGCTCAGTCTCTTCCGGTACCTAGGCACATAACGGCCCATTCCACTCGCAGCGCAGCAACCTCGGTGGCCTGGGCTACTCAGGCCTCTATTGAGGAGATTTGTAGGGCAGCCGCCTGGGCCTCCCCTACCCCCTTCATCAGGCACTATCGTTTGGACCGTTTTGCCTCAGCCGACGCGGCTTTTGGCCGCAGGGTGCTGCAGCAAGTACACGGGGAACGGGCCTCCTCTCCTCGGGCGGGTCCCTCCCTATAAGGTCTCTGCTTTGGCATGTCCCGTTCCTGACCACTGGACCCAGGAGCAACGAGATTGGGCGTTGACTTACCTGAACGCTTCATCTGGTTGCTCTGGGTCCAGTGGTCAGCCCCTCCCTGTTTCGGTTCTCGTCGGTTCGGCCCGTTTCGGCCTTGTTTTGTTTGTGTTTCATGCAGCTCTACGTGTCGGTCTGCTTATCATCTTTCGCCAGAAAGCTGGGAAGCTGGGCGGAGGGGCGGAGCTTCTCAGCTAAGCAGACTCAATCAAGCATATTGAAGTGAGAAGTAACCCGTTCCTGACCACTGGACCCAGAGCAACCAGATGAAGCGTTCAGGTAAGTCAACGCCCATTCCAGAGAAGTCAATTGTGGTCACTACTGCAGTTTAAACAGTGGAGCCTTTTATAGCAGGGGTGGGCAACTATGGCCCCCTTTATGACCTGTGGACTTCAACTCCCAGAATCTCCAAGGCTCAGGAATTCTGGGAGTTGAAGTCCACAGGTCATAAATGGGCCATAGTTACCCAACCCTGTTTAACGTAGATGTGACAGAGTAGACAAAATGTAGGAAAAGGAAGATTTATTCTCACATCCTGCAAGAGATTAGGATTTAAAATCCTGCTGTACAACCATAGTCAGCTATTTTAGGGGTTCATGCATAAGCATCTGAAAGCAGAATTTGGCTTTGGTTGTGGAAAATTTCCATAATAAAATTCTGAATGAAATCTTTAGTCTCAGATTCTTCCACAATCCCAGAAATGGAAGGGAAACAGTAAGACCAAATAAGTCTAGGTAAACCCTTTACAACAGCTGCCATATGTTTGCAATTAAACTTTCTTGGCTGCCTCCAGAAACTACCGTATTTTTCGGTGTATAAGACGCACCTTTTTACCCCCAAAAAGGGGGTGAAAATCTGGGTGCGTCTTATACGCCGAATGCAGCCCAGCCCACCTGCCAGCCCCCACCCTTCGGCCATTTTCGGCCAGTTCCAGGCGGCAGGGATCTGGGTCGGGGCACAGCCTGAGGAACAACCCTCCCTCTTCGGGACGGTGTGTGTGTGGGGGAAATCTGCCCAGCAGCTTTGGGGAACAAGGCGGGTGCCACGATTTGCGGCTGGTCACCCCTCTGGCCGCACTGACTTCACTCCCCAGCAATGTGAGGAGCCGCCGCCGCCGCTGCCTAACCCTCTCTGCGCCCAGGAGCCAAGTCAAGCTGAAAGGGAGCCCCTAAAGGGAAACATTCCTCCTTTCCAGCCATCGCTGCCCGGATTCCAAAGTGCAAACCTCAAGAGTCGCGCTTCAGGTGGCGGCCATTTCCCCTGCAATGTGCAGCGGGGAACTGGGAAGTGATTTGGATTCGGGGAGGAGATTGTAGCGCTGCCGCCTAAAAGTGTTTTTCTGCACATTGCAGAGCCGCGCGCCCCCGTCCTCCTTTTCAGCAGACTCTTCTCTTTCCTCCTGGCCAGATCCGCCGCTTGAAACACGGTACACTTTTTTTTGTCTCTGCACACACCCCATGTTTGGAATCAGGAAGGGGATTGCGGGTTCGGGCGGCAGACCCGTGTCTCCTTCAGCCGAATAGGTTGTAAAAAATGCTTTTAAAAGGTTAAAAAAAGGCTCCGACGATCGCGCGCCACTGCTGTGATCGTTGGACCAGTTTTTTTAACCTGTTAAAAGCATTTTTTTACAACCTATTTGGCCGAATAGATTGTAAAAAATGCTTTTAAAACTAAAACAAAAGGCTCTGACAATTGTGCGCCACAGCTGTGATCGTCGGAGCCTTTTTTTTTTTTACTTTTTAAAAGCATTTTTACTACTGGTTCCAGAGAACCGGTAGTATAAAAAATGCTTAAAAAATGCGTTAAAAAAAAATTCCGACGATTGCGCGTCGCTCACCTGATCGTCGGAACTTTTTTTTTTTTTTACATTTTTTACTGTCAGTTCGGCGAACCAGTAGCCTTTTTTACTACCGGTTTGGGTGAACTGGACTGAACCGGGAGCATTTCACCCCTGCTCCCATGGGAATGAAGTGAGCGGCAATTGGCTGGTTTGGAACTGAGGCTGAA